CCCCCAGCCTCGCTTGGCTCCACTGCCAATGAAAGGCCCATCCTCAGAGGATCGAATTTAAGATCCTCGCCCTCACTTTTAAAGTCCTCCATAATCTAACTCCTCCCTACCTCTGTGAGGTATTCACACCATCCCTCTGCTCGGCAGGAACTGACCTGCTCCACGTCCCCCGCCCTGCCCACACCTCCAATGACAGTCACGCCTTCAGCCTCCCTGCCCCCACCCTCTGGAACTCCATTCTCGCAGTCCCTCCACCTCACCCCCTCCCTTGCCACCTTGAAGACCCATTTCAAAGCCCACCTCTTTGACCGCATCTTTGGTCACTCTCCCTACCCTCCATCCTTCTGATCCCAAACCCCAGCTCGGGTGCAAAACCTTCACTGTCCAGCACCTGGGGACGTCCTCCTGAAGTGAAAGGCCCTGTATACATTTTAATTTTGTTGTTGTTGTATTGCAGCCTGGTGTAAATTACAGCCCAGTATATATAGAAAGGTTTATATTATACTTGGAGAAGGAGAGAGAGAGAGAGAGAGCAAAGTGAGATATTCTCTTCTCGGAGAATATTAGGTATTGTTTTCTAAATATAATAATTTGGTAGGGAGTAAGCGCTGTCTACACAGAAAGCAATATTGCAGGTCTGGAAATTCATATTTACTGTGCGTTACAGCAACAATAAACTAAACTAAAACCAGAATAGGATTTAATAAGGAAACAAACTGTGTCAATAAACAGAGCATTCCTCAAACGCTGTGTGTAGCACAACATTGTAAAAAAAATGAATAATTTACAGAAAGCATTACATTATTTACTGAACCCGCTCTCCCTGAGTCAAAGACAAGCATTATTTATTAAACTTGCTGTTATTTATTTAAAATGAATAATATTTCAAATGGTAACACTTTTATTAAAAACTATTTACATTTTTTTCCTGAATAATGAATTGTGTGTCACATTAAGATGGTGGTTATTAAGATCCGATGTGTTACAGTGAAATGTGCTGTGAATATCAGGCGCTGGGATGGTCAGACCAGCTCAGACACAACACAACTTGCAATCTGCTCATCCAAGCTTTAATCAGGAGAGCATTCAGACAATCAGTCACAGAGAGGGTTTTTAACCACTTTCTGCACTGCAGGCCCTGCAGTACTCAACAGATAATAATAATCAGCCTCGCTTTTGATATCACGCCTTATCATATTGTTGTGATGTCTCAAAGCGCTTCACAGAATGTGCTGTAAAGTGCACTGACTGTGTCTTTTGTGGGTAAAGCATGGCAGCCAATTGTGTACAGCAGTGTCCCACAAATAGTCATGGATTGAGTGAATTTTTTTTGGGGGGGAAATTATTACCACCGGAAAATGATTCACCAATTGACCAACAACCGCGTTCCCACTGACTGCTTGGTAAACAGAGGTGTGTGGAGTAGGAAATATGCCTGAGGTTTCACCCCGATCAGGGATCAAATCTGGCTTCTCTGGCTTGTGAGGCGAGTGCCCTAACCACTAAGCTACAGGACTCCACAGCTCTCCCCCAAAGCCTCCTATTACCGCAGGGTCTTGATCTCAAATCCATTAGAATAGAGCAATAAGGACTCACACCCTCCCTCTCTCTCTCACGTTCTGTCTTCTCTCTTTCTCTCCCACTCTCTTTTTGTCAGTCTATCTGTCTCTCTCTCCTCTCAGGCTTTCTTCCCCTCTTTGTCTCTTTCACTCTCTATGTCTTTCTCTCTCCCACCATGGTTCAATGTACTTTGGCACCTGTGTGCAAATTGGCAGTAGAACATTACAGAAAAAACACTTTACAACACCAGACAGATCATTCCGTTAGTCACACTGAGTACACTGCTGTACACATTGAGAAACACAGCACCAGTGGGGAGGGAATGGTTTGCTGTTACCTGTGGCTTGGTTCAGTTGGCAATGCTCTTCACTCAGGCGCATAGGGTTGTGAGTTCCAGCCCCACAACAGGACCTGAGCTCACAGTTCCAATGGGCTGTCTGGCCTCGTAAATCGACTGTTGTGTTAGTCTACAAAAACAGTCACTACACTTGACAATGATCACCTGTGAAGCACTTTGAGTGTTTTTGACATTACAGACTGACTATGAGGATGTGATTGAGGTCTAATAAGGAGGATGGCCAGTAGGTGGTACTGTTAGCACTGAGCCAGCCTGAGCCGAGGTGAGACACACACAGTGAGAACAGACGATGATCCTCCCTGATTTAGTGACACGAATGACAGACCTCTTCACTGTGCAGGACATTCCTGGTGCAGATTAGTTACCGCCTTTGTCTGAACAGTCACTATAATAATAATAATCCTTGCATTTGATATAGTGCCTTATCAAGTCTTTGAGACATCTCAAAGTGCTTCACAAAATATACCGCAAAGTGAATTGGCTGTATATTTTGTGGGCAAAACACGGCAGCCAATTGCACACAGCAGCGTCTCACAAACAGTCGTGGATTGAAGTGACCATTTTTTTTGAAGGAATTATTTCCTTTTATTACTACACCTTTTATTCCCCTAACCATACTTGTGCGAAGCTTGGAAACCCTTCAACCTGTTATTATCATCAGATTTCCTTTGAATGATTATCATTTATTGGTGCTTTGTATTTATTTTCTGCTCCAGTGTACTGGCCTCAACCAGCCTTCCTGGTCCCATATCTCCACGCCAGGCCAGTCACCGGCTATTACCGGGGTTACCACAGGTCACCAGGCGTTAGTGGAGCATCACCAGGACCGTGACATCCCACTGTGTGATAATCATCACGTCTCACCTGGATGCCTCTCCCCACGGTGTCAGTGATTAAAGCTCACCACAAGGGGACGGCCACGAGCTGAGCTGCTGCTTTCTCTATCTGCAACTCAATCTCCCTTGTTCTCTCTGTTACTTTCTCTCTCTCACCCACATTCTCTCTTTCACTCTCTTTCAGGTGTCAGTCCCTCTCAGTTAGTAGCACTCTCAACTTTCATTTAGACGATTGTGGGTTCAAGCCCCATGTCAGGACTTGGAACTCATAGTCTAAGGTGACACTCCATTGTGTTGCTGGGGGTGTTGCATTGTTGGAGATGCCGTGCTTCAGATGACAGGTTAAACCAAGGTCCCATCTGCCAGTTCAGAGGAGGTTAAAGATCCTGTGGTACTATTTGTGAAAAGAGAGTTTCTTTCTCTCTCAACGTCCTGGCTGACAATCCTCCAAATAAAGTTTGTCACTGTTTGTGTGACATTGCAGTTTACAAATGGACCGCTGCATTCAACTCAAAACACACAGTCACTGCACTTTACAGTAAATAACATGTAACACAGCACCTTTCATGTCAGAACATCTAAAAGCGCTCATAGGATTTACTATAAAGTGGAGTGACTGTGTGGTTTTGTGGCATTCTGATCAGCACAGCTTGTATTAATTAGCGAGTTATTTTATTAGGTTTAGTTGCTACAAGTGCTTAGAGCATCCACAAAAGAGTACATTGTTTAAACCCGTGTGAGACACAGGTCTGAACCTGGCCAAAAGCACAGTGAGAGCCACACAGAGAGACGTAAGAGAGAGACATGAGCGAGAGAGACATGAGAGAGCAAAGAGAGAGTGAGGGACATGGGAGAGGGGAGAGACAGGGGAGAGAGAAGAGAAAAAAAGGAGAGAGAGAATGGGTTAAACAATGACACTGTGGGACAGGAGTGAAATGTGGGGAGGGGAGAAGGAAGAGAAGACATTAGAACAACAACAAATTACAATATAGCGCCTTTCAGTCAGAAAGATGACTCAGGCCGCTGACAACAACCTTGTCATTTGCCACATTAATGAGCAATAATAAGAGAGGCCCATTACTACATGAAACACAATATATAAATGCAAGTTCTGTTCAGATGTTGTTGTGTGTGTGTGTGTGTGTGTGAGTGAGTGTCTGAGTGTGTGTGAGTTAAGAGGAGACTCAGAAGTTTCCAAAATTATGAGGGGAATCTATAGGGTGAACAAGGAGAGACTATTTCCACTGGCGGGGGGGGGTGGGGGGGTCAGTAACCCGAGGACACCGATTTAACATAGCTGTTAAACGAAATAGAGGGGAGGTGAGGAGAAATGTTTTCACACAGCGAGTTGTTGGGATCTGGAATGCATTACCTGAAAGTGGAAGCGGATTCGATTAACAACTTTTAAGAGAGGAATAGATAATTATTTGGGGAGGACAAGTTTGCAGGACTATGGGGAGAGAGCAGGGGAGTGGGGTTGATCAGGGCAATGGGGAGAGAGCGGGGGAATGGGGTTGTTCAGGGCTATGGGGAGAGAGAGAGCGGGGGGAGTGGGGTTGATCAGGGCTATGGGGAGAGAGCTGAGGATTGGGGTTGATCAGGGGTATGGGGAGAGAATGGGGGGAGTGCGGTTGATCAGGGCAATGGGGAGAGAGCGGGGGAGTGGGGTTGATCAGGGCTATGGGGAGAGAGCGGGGGAGTGGGGTTGATCAGGGCAATGGGGAGAGAGCGGGGGAGTGGAGTTGATCAGGGCTATGGGGAGAGAGAGAGCGGGGGAAGTGGGGTTGATCAGGGCTATGGGGAGAGAGCGGGGGGAGTGGGGTTGATCAAGGCTATGGGGAGAGAGCGGGGGAATGGGGTTGATCAGGGCTATGGGGAGAGAGCGGGGGAGTGGGGTTGATCAAGGCTATGGGGAGAGAGCGGGGAGTGGGGTTGATCAGGGCTATGGGGAGAGAGCGGGGGAGTGGGGTTGATCAGGGCTATGGGGAGAGAGCGGGGGAGTGGGGTTGATCAGGGCTATGGGGAGAGAGCGGGGGAGTGGGGTTGATCAGGGCTATGGGGAGGGAGCGGGGGAGTGGGATTGATCAGGGCTATGGGGAGAGAGCGGGGAGTGGGGTTGATTTGGAAGCTCTTTTCAAAGAGCAGCACAGACACAATGGGCCGAATGGCCTCCTTTTGTTCTGTATAATTTCATGAGTGTTGTGCATGTCTGTGTGTGTCTGTCTGTGTGAGAGTGTCTGTATGTGTGTCTGTGTGTGTGAGAGTGTCTGTGTGAGTGTGTGTGTATGTGTGAGTGGTTCAGTAATAATCCTCTGGGTCTGAGTAATCGTCCACCGGTGGGGTACTCAGGCTCTGCAGCTGATCTGCGAGAGAGAGAGAGCCTCTGTTATCCTCTGTTCCCCGTCTGCTGACCCCTCCCCACTCCAGAGACCTCTCCCACCACTTATGACCCTCCCCTTACAGTGCCTCCTCCCCTCACTCGTGACCCCTCCCCCATTCCAGGGACCTCTCCCCCCCCCCCCCCCCCGTGTGGAGCGGCTCTCACCATATGGCTGGACAGTCAGGCGGGCGGTTGCAGACGCCTCTCCCAGCTGGTTGCGGGCACGGCACTGGTACTGACCCCCGTCCGAGCTGCGGATGCCCTGAATCTGGAGCCAACCGCTTACTGCATAGCGCCTTGGCCCACCCCGTGCCTGTGAGAGAACAGCAGCCGCTCAGTCCCAGTCTCAGCTCACAGCTCAAACACACACTGCTGCTGGAGCTTATCTACCCCCGGCTCAGAGACTGTGGCTCAAACTGCACATCTGGTCTTCCAGCTCAGAGTCCAGGTTGACACTCCAGTGTGGGGGAATCACGAGGGCCCACAGTGGAGGAATGGTAGGAAGAATGCAGTTACCTGGATGGAGATGTGAGGGTCATCCCCAGGAAGGAAGGTCTCAGCTCCGTCTTTCCACCACTCAATAGATGCCATGGGATAAGCGAAGACCTCGCAACCAAAGATGACGTCCTCTCCCGTCACGTTCCACACGTCGTATGGAGGAGACACGATCTGAGGCACTGAAACCACCCAGAGTCAGGCCAGCTTCACTCAGCCTAACCCCCACCTCCACCCCCACACACTCCATCACTCCACACTGTCCATCCACACTCCCAGGTCAGGGTTGGAGACACAGTAAAGCTTCCTCTGCACTGTCTGTCCACACTCTTCTTAAGGGCCTTGACAGGGGAGATAGTGTGAGACTGTTTCCCGGGTTGGAGAATCTAAACTTGGGGTCATAGTCTCAGGATTAAAGGTCAGCCCTTTAGAACTGAGTTGAGGAAATATTTCTTCACTCAGAGGGTAGTGAATTTATGGAATTCTCTACCCCGGAGGCTGTGGATACTCAGTCATTGGACATATTCAAGACTGAGATCGATAGATTTTTTAAAAACTAAAGGGATTAAGGGATATGGGGATAGGACAGGTAAATGGAATTAGGTTAGAAGATCAGCCATGATCTTATTAAATGGTGGGGCAGGCTCGAGGGGCCAAATGGCCTACTCCTGCTCCTACATCTTATGGTCCCCTCTCGACTCTCTTCCCCCTCCTCGCTCCCTCCCTTCCCTCCCCTTACCCTGACCATTTCCCCCCTCCTCGCTCCCTCCCTTCCCTCCCCTCACCCTGACCATTTCCCCCCTGCTCGGGTCATGACCCAACTGTGCAGCGCCTTGGGACGTCCTCCTGACGTGAAAGGCGCTTTATAAATGGAATCTTGTTGTTGTTGTTGTTGTTGTCTTATGTACTCCCAGGTCAGGTTTAGAGATGCAGTAAAGCTCCTCTACACTGTGTGTCCACACTACCAGGTCAGGGTTAGAGACACAGTAAAGCTCCTCTACAATGTGCGTCCACACTCCCAGGTCAGGGTTAGAGACACAGTAAAGCTCCTCTACACTGTGTGTCCACACTCCCAGGTCAGGGTTAGAGACACAGTAAAGCTCCTCTACACTGTGCGTCCACACTCCCAGGTCAGGGTTGGAGACACAGTAAAGTTTCCTCTACACTGTCTATCCACACTCCAGTTAAATTGTTTGTTCACACCGTGGCTATTTGGGTTAGGGTTAGGGGTGAAGGGATCTGAATGTGAGGATAATGTGGGTTAGAGCTGGGCTTGGCATGGTGAGGGCCTGATGTGCGTGGGCTGGTTTTGCTGATGAGCGTAGTGGGAGTGGGTACGTACCGGCCTGGCAGGGCCCACTGTGTGCCAGGGTTAGGTTGGTGCTGGAATTGGTGTTGACGGCCTCCTGGAAGCTGCAGACATGGGGGTAGGTGTTATTGTCGGAGCCACACACGGCTTCGGGGGAGCTGCAGACACACTGTGGCTCAGGCACGTGGCCGTGGAGCAGATCTCCCAGGTCCAACCGGCACTCCAGCCCCGCCCCGCATCGGCCGTAAAAGTGGCTGGTGTCGTCCAGGTCACACATCTGGCCCTCCAAGTTGGCGCACTCCCAGCAACAGCCACAAGGGGGCAGCACGGCACCCGCCAGGCAGCCCAAGAGCGGTGGGCACAGCTCGGGCTGGCACTGCCCACACCCCTCCGCCTCCTCCAGCAGCCACTGCCAGCCTCGCTGCACGTACCCAAAGTCCCCTGGCATCGCCCCGGCCTCCACCCCCTCCCCAGCCCCAGCCCCGCCCAGCGGCCAGGCCCACAGACACAGCAACAACCACAGGGGGCTGCCCATCTCCCGACTCATAGCCTATCTCTGGCACCAGCGGCTCCAGTCACGAGCATCACTTTCTGTCTGCGAGGCTTGTTCACAGCGTCGTCTGCATGTCAGACAGTCATCCTGCTCCTTCTCCCCGCTCCGTCTCCCCGGTGCACACACCTGCAGCGTAATGTGTGTGTCAGCCTGGTGCAATGGTAGCACTCTCGCCTCTGAGTCAGAAGGTTGTGGGTTCAAACCCCACGTCGGGATTTGGAATCACAGTCTAAGCTGACGCTTCAATGCAGTGGTGGGGTGTGTGTTTCATTGTCTGCTGAATGTTAAAAGATCCCACAGCTCTATTTGAAAAGAGAAGTGAGTTTCTCTCCCGATGTCCTGGCCAACAATCCCCAAAATAAATTGACTCACTCACTCCACGGCTGTTTGTGGGACACTACTGTGTGCCATTGCCTGCCACGTTTCACCCACAAAATATAGTCAATACACTTGACAGGATATCTTGTGAAGTGCTTTGAGACGTCTCAACAACATGATAAGGCGCTATATCAAATGCAGGGATTATTATTGTTATCAACACAGCAGCTGGAGACCTGAGGATTGTTGGGCAGGAACGGGGAATAACTTGTTTTCTAAAGTTTGTTTTCCAAAGGGCAGTGGGATCAGTAACATCCACCTGAACAGCCGGGAGCTCAGTGTAACATCTCATTCAAAGGATGCCATCTCCAACAATGCAGCTCTCTTCCCTCCTACCCCCCCCCAGCACTCCACTGCACTGGAGCGTCAGCTTGTACAGCCAGAGCCCTGCAGCACTGACAGCGGCTGGGCTGGGGGACTATCAGCCTGGACAGTAATCACTGAGCAGGCACAATGGGACTTTGCCAGTACCTGCCCACCCGCCCACCTCTATTCAGTCCACTGCAGAGTTGAAGTCTAACCCTGATTGACGTGTGTGGTGAGTGTCCGTGTCAGTGGAGCACATGAAAGCTGAGCGACGAATGTACAGACAGGCACTGCTCAACGTAACTGTATAAAACATCACGTGACAAGAGCTCTAGCCAGAGACACAGCACTCGATTAGTACTGAGGTAGTGGAGGAATGTGAGTGTGTCTGTCTGTCTGTGAATCTGACTCTATGTGTGAGTCTGACTGTCTGCGAATCTGACTGTATGTGTGTGTGTCTGAGTGTGTGCATGTGGATGAGTCTGTCTCCGACTGCATATCTTTCTGTCAGTGTTTGTGTGGCTGAATGTGACTGTGAGTGTGTTCAAGATCCTCGTTCTTACTTTAAAGCCCTCCACAGTCTTGCCTCTGCGACCTACTAAAATATTACCAACCTGTCTGCTCCCTCCACTCCCCCGCCACACCATCAACCTCTCTGACCCCACCTTCTGGAATTCCATCCTGGAGCCCCCGCCTCAACCCCTTCCTCACCTCCTTCATGGCCCGTCTCACGCCTCTTCGACCACGCCTTCAGCCACCCTCCTAACCTCACCCTCTCTGCCCTCCACCCCTCCTGAACCCAACCCCCAGCTTAGGTCCAAACACCTGGTTGTGGTTATGTATCTGAGTGTGACTGTATGTGTGAGTGTGTGTGCGCGAGGGTGACAGTGTGAGTGTGTGACAGTGTGTCTCCCCCTTCCCGACCGTCTCAGCATCCGGCACTCAGGGTTGGGAGCTTGTAGTGAGCCCAGCCTGTCCCTGGCAGCCCCTGCCACCCCCCGCCTGCCCACCCCTCCCGCCCTCCTGCCCTCCCCTCCCTGCCATCCCCTCACTGCCTGCCCTCCCCTCCTGCCCCACTCACCGTTGCCCGCTGTGGTGTCAGTGGCCGGGGCTGTGGTGCAGACAGACTCACGGCTGTTCCTCGGGAGTTTGCAGCTCAGAATGAATGCGGTTCCCGCTCTCTCTCTGTTTGTGTCTCTCTCACACTCCCTCTGTCTGTGTCTCTATCACTCTCTCTCTGTCTGTGTCTCTCTCACACTCCCTCTGTCTGTGTCCTTCTCACTCTCCCTCTGTCTGTGTCCTTCTCACTCTCCCTCTGTCTGGGTCTCTCTCACTCTCTGTCTGTGTCTCTCTCTCACACTCTCTCTGTCTCACACTCTTTCTGTCTGTGTCTCACTCTCTCTCGGTCTGTGTCTCTCTCACACTCCCTCTGTCTGTGTCCTTCTCACTCTCCCTCTGTCTGTGTCCTTCTCACTCTCCCTCTGTCTGTGTCTCTCTTTCACTCTCTCTGTCTGTGTCTCTCACACTCTGTTTGTCTCTCTCACACTCTCTCTGTCTGTGTCTCTCACTCTCTGTCTGGCTCTTAGCGAGACTGAAGTGTAAACCACATGTCCTACAACCACACAGCACACAGTCCACACTCGTAACGAAATCTGCACATTCCTGGCATTTCTCCCCCAAGAACAGCCCGCCTCTCTCTCTCTGCTCTCTCTCACTCACTCTGCTCTCACGCACATTCTCTCTCAAACATTCTTTTTCTCCCTTTCTACATTTCTATCACGTCTGCATCTTTTATACTTTATCCCTCCGTCTATGTTCTTTGGTGTTTTTCACACTCCGTCCCTCTCACATTCCCTAACTATGCCCAACCCCCTTCCCACTTACTCCCACTGTCCACATTTCCAATGGCCCCAACACCTACTCACTGACTCCCTTTATATGTCATTTTCAATTTCACCTGTAACTATTCAATGCATAAAATGTGAATACTGTGAGAGTTAGCATGTGAGTGTGAGTTAGTGTGAGTGTGAGTTAGTCTGCAAGTGTGAGTTAGTGCGTAAGTTAGTGTATGAATGTGTGAGTTAGTGTGTGGGTGAGTTAGTGTGAGCTAGTGTGAGTGAGTTAGTGTGTGAATGTGAAAGTGAGTCAGTGTATGAGTGTGTTAGTGTGTGAGCTAGTGAGTGAGTTAGCGTGAGCTAGTGTGAGTGAGTTAGTGTGTGAATGTGAAAGTGAGTCAGTGTATGAGTGTGTTAGTGTGTGAGCTAGTGAGTGAGTTAGCGTGAGCTAGTGTGAGTGAGTTAGTGTGTGAATGTGAAAGTGTGAGTCAGTGTATGAGTGTGTTAGTGTGTGAGCTAGTGTGTGAGCTAGTGAGTTAGTGTGTGAGCTAGTGAGTGTGAGTTAGTGTGTGAGCTAGTGTGAGTTAGTGTGTGAGCTAGTGTGAGTGTGAGTTAGTGTGTGTGCACCAGTGTGAGTTAGTGTGTGAGCTAGTGTGTGTTAGTGTGTGCGCCAGTGTGAGTGTGAGTTAGTGTGTGAATGTGAAAGTGTGAGTCAGTGTATGAGTGTGAGTTAATGTGCGAGTGTGAGTTGGTGTGAGAATTGCTGTGATTGACTGGCCGGCTAGCCGGTCTTGTGAAGCTGGGATTCACTTGGCTGCATTGAGGCTGTTTGCTTGTGTGCAGTGTGTCTCGGCTCCTGTGCTGAGCTGAAGTGAGTAGTGTTGGCTGGAGGCCAGTGGGAGCAGAGACACCGCACACGGACACACCGCACACTGACACGCAGCGCCCGCTGGCACGGAACACACTGACACGCAGCACACAGCCAGTTTCTCTGGCTGATCCCCTGACCACCAGCTTCTCCACCTGATTCGGGTTTGCAGACACCCAACCCCAGAGCCCTGTGACCCGTCAGTGCCATTGCCCAGGGTTCCATCACTCTGGCCCTCAGCCTGTCTGTCTCTCTGCCTCACTCCCCTTCCCTTTACCATTCCTGCACTCCAGGAGGCCCCACTCCCCTCTGAGCCCAAACTGGTGCTCACTCCCCCAATGGAGCTCTCTAACCCCATTCCCTGCTCTCTCCCCATCGTGTCTGTGAATCCTATGAAGCTTTGAGATACTGCAATAAGGCACTGCATCAAATGTGAAGATTATAATTGCTATTATTATCAAGATATTATTGTTATTATTAGTTATTAGTATTGTTATTACAAGTTATTACTCTTAGTTTTATTATAGCTCCTGATATTAACTGTGATTATTATTTGTTATTAGTTAGTACTAGTTATTGTTATAACTATTTCATTTGGAATTAAGCGCTGGTGACTTGGTGAGCGCTGCTCTGGTGTTTGTGAGCTGCACTGTGTAAGGCTGTGTGGGAGGGGAGGTGAGTGTTAGTGTGCTGGATGCCTGTGTGTGTGTGTCTCTCTCTCTCTCACACACACACACACAGTGAGGAGCTCAAAGGCTCTCAGGCTGAGCTCCAGACAGGCTCCACCAGCACTTCCTGCTTCCTCACACTTCACAGTCTGCTTCCAATTTACCCCTCCACTTACAACCGCTTTTACATTAATTTCTCTATATCATAAACCACATCTCCCATTGGAGCTCTCTATTCCAATCCCATTCCCTGCTCTCTCTCTCCCCATTGTGTCTGGGCTGGTGCTCCCCATCCCCACTGGAGCTCTCTACTCTTATCCTGTTCCCCGGGTATAATTCCTGCTGAATCTGTCTTGCATTCCCCCAATAGGGGGAAAAATTGGCCCCTTCCTCATCTGTCAATTTTTTTTGTTTAAACATCTCAAACCACTTGTGCCGCCCCCCTGTAGCGAACTGTGTATCGTGTGTCTGACACTGGTGAGAGCGGAAAAGGCCTGGAGAGCCCCCGATCTGGCTTCATTCCATGTGTGTTTAATATGATCTTCACTTCCTCTCCTGACGGGAATGGGATACGGAGACCTGGAGAAACAGTCATTGCCCCAAGTGACGAGCTTCACAGCTGTTTCCCCAGCCACCTTCTTGGCTTTAGCACAAAACTGACTTAGCGACTCCCCCCCCCCCCCCCACCAAATCAAAATGCTCTCAGGCAGGTTATGTTGCGTAACGGTTAGCGTGTTCGCCTCGTAAGCGAGAGGACCTGGAGTTTAATTCCCGGGAGGAGTAAAACCTTAGGCAAGTTTCCTTACTCCACATGCCTGTGTTTACCTAGCAGTAAATAGGAAGGAACCCGGTTGTTAGTCGAGCATCAGAGACGCTGTCCTTCGGGTGAGACATTAAACCAAGCCCCCCCCCCCACGCCTTGATTAAAGATCCTGCAGCACTTTGGGAAAGAGAATATCATTCATTCAGGATCATTTCTAAAGATTATTACAGTAAGACGCTGTGAAACATAAGATACAGTCTATAGCAACCTTGGAACAGGAGGTTGAGGCCCCGACCTCTGGGTGGGGAGAAGATGCAGTGTGAGGGGCTGGGGTAGGTCATTCACCCTCGCCTCCCCCCACCCCTTGCAGACCGGAGGTTGGGCTGTTTCCCAGGCAGTCACGTGGTGGGGGCCAAGAGCTTCTCTGTTCCCCATATTCCGCGTTCCTGCAGCCGGGCTGAACCGCAGACAGTCACTGCCTCCCTCACTCCCTGTACGCCTCATTCCTCATCTGATCAGCAGATGTGATGTTAACCTGCAGACAGACTCAGTGTTTCAAATGGGCCGACTCCAGCTTCAGCCCCACTCCAACCCTGTACTGCAGACCCCCCAACCACCCCAGGGACCATAAGCTGACAGTCGATGATGATACCCCAGCACAGTGGTGAGGGGAAGCCAAGCTCACAGGGTGGGCACTTTCTCTGCTCGTCCTGTCTCACTCCTGGGGAGAGGCTGCTATGTTATTTGCCAATCAGGTGAGGAGCAGTGGAGAGAGGAAGGGACAGCATGGGAGAGAATGGAAAGAGTGGGAGAGGAGGTAGAGAGCAACAGGAGGAGGGAGTGAGAAAGAGGAGAGGGAGAGAGAGAGGAGGCAGTGGAGTAGAGAGGGGCAGCGAAAGAGGGATAGGAGAGTAGAGGGAGAAGTCCACATTATCTACAAGGTTAAAACCTGTGGTTAAACAGTCATTAAACCTTCAGTAATTTATTGATCGCTGCCCATCACCGCCATATAAAGTTTCCAGGCTTTCATTGCTCAGACTCCCCATCACTGCTCATCAATCCTTCCCTCCCTGCACAACCACTGCCATCCTGTTCCTTACCTGGCCATGTGTGCGTGTGTATGTGGCGGAGTGGGATCGCTGCCCTGACTCAGGCCTTACCTGAGATGCAGACGACGATCCTCCCAAGAGGTGGGGGGAAGACAGTGATTGGGAGCCAGAACCTCCCTCGCCCACAGCCAAGATCAGCCACTCTGGAGCCTGGTACACACCCTCTCCAAGGGGTGACCAACAGGTATTGTTGGTAGATGGCACCTGTGCCCACCTCCCCTCCCCATTGGTCCTCCACAGGCTCCTGTGTGTATAGCCCAGAGTCCCCGTGTGGGGGATGGGGTCAGTGCCTCAGACCATCCATTAGCTGTTGGCATTAAGTCACCCTCTAACTGACTCCTCACACTCCTGCCGTTTTAACCCATTCATTACCAGCACAGTGTGAGTGGAGTTTGACAACGTGCTGAGACTTTATATTACGCTTATTATTGAGCTCTAAAGGATGAGAACTGTCCAATTCTGCACTGCCACCAGCTGGTGAGAGATGATAATTCCTGGCCCTTGCTGCACTGTCCGGCACTGTGTGTAGAGCCCACACAGCTAACAGGAATGATTCCCTCCCATCACAGTGCCTGCAGAATCACCCATTACACAACTCTTCAGAATTTACTGTAAAGTGTAGCGACTGTGCACAGCGACACCCCACAAATAGCCACAGTGTGAACAAACAATTTAACTGGAGTATGGACAGAATGTAGAGGAGCTTTACTGTGTCTCTAACCCTGACCTGGGAGTATGGACAGAGTGTAGAGGAGCTTTACTGTGTCTCTAACCCTGACCTGGGAGTGTGGACACACAGTGTAGAGGAGCTTTACTGTGTCTCTAACCCTGACCTGGGAGTGTGGACACACAGTGTAGAGGAGCTTTACTGTGTCTCTAACCCTGACCGGGGAGTGTGGACACACAGTGTAGAGGGAGCGTTACTGTGTCTCTAACCCTGACCTGGGAGTGTGGACACACAGTGTAGATGGAG